ATTCCCCTCCTGCCCTCTTGTTTCACCTGTTAGATAAACTGCTTGCAGCTTAGGCCAGAGATAGTTTGCAAAATCCAACATCTTGGTAGCTGGCTTTGTCAGAGGGTTGCAGTTATTGCTGCTCTGCTAGTAAAAAGAGGCATAAAAACGAGAAGAAGAGTTAATAGAAGGCAGCAGGAAGTAGGTGCACAGCTAGAGGACGTTTAGGAATAGCATCTAGAAATTACACAGAAGAAAACATCCTGACAATTTTAATGTTCTAAAATAACAGAAGTAGGGGATGGGAGCAAAGAAATACAGTCCCCTGTGGATAAGCCAACAGAAGCTGGCCTCTTCTTTGACTTCTACAAACCTCTGCTGAGTTCTCAAGAAACTGAAAGCATTCCTAAAAGGGACTGAGGTGGGAAGGGCTACTTCCTGAAAGTGTGGTTCTTGAAGAACGGCAGTTCTGCACCAATCCTGTGCCTCTGCTCCTGCTCTGAGGTGGATATCCTGCAGCTTTAGGCCAGATAAAATGCCTCCTCCCTTCAGCACTTGCACATAAATTGATATTAATGTTACCATGTTATACAAGTGCATTGAGGAGGAAAATAGGCCGACTAATGCGTCGTCCTGCTCCACTGTTTTTTAACCTGAAGGGTGCCACACTTGTCCCTGGACCGTGGGTGGGCACGAGTCACAAGAAAAAAGCAGCAGCAGTGGGACAGGCTCAGCAAGGCCTCATCTGCCTCAGCCTTTCTTCTCCAGGCTGCTCCAAAGCTCGGTGCAGATGAAGCATATGCTGGCAGAGATGCCTTACAGCCTTCCTGCCCTCAGCTGGCCACACGGTTTGGAGGAACCGGGGCCTGCAGACCCAGGCTGCAGCTGAGTCTGAGCTCCCCGCTCAGACCTGAGCACATCCAAAAAGGCTGTGATCTGAGCACAGATCTTTTGTCCATGGGCCACTTGTCATGCCATGGATGAATTAAGAAAGGACATGAGTTTGCGTGGTGAAAGGAGTTCCACTGCCAGTTGAGTGCAAGACAGGCAAACCCTAAGAAACTCCAGCAAATGCCCTGGATGCAGGGGGCTGGAGACCCAGACCCTAGTGTGTGTGCAGCTGAGCAGACTGCTTCACCTCTGCTGAAGGACACTTGTGCAGCCTGGTGCTGGCCACACACAGGCATACATGTAAGCAGATGACGACATCAGGTGGAGGCACCAAACTTTTAATCCCAATTCCATGGAAGTGCCAGGAAAGTGACATTTAACAATGCAAGTTTGTGCTGAAAAGACTAAAAGCGAAACTCCTGTGAAGTTTTAAAACAACGAATAATATCCAAATAATTTGAAAAATTTTAGCACATACTGGCTGTCTCCTAAAATATTTCTCGCAGGCCCTGGATGGCACCATACAACTTTTGGTAGCAGTGGCTGACTAGTGCCAGAAATGCCTCCAAGCGGGCATGCAAAGAGACTAATTTGCCTAAAATCGTAAATGGAAAGCCAGAATTATTCACTGTTCTCCCACTCCCTTCTTCTTCCCGTCATCCCTGGCAGCCTGGTTTAGTGGTTGGTGACCCTGCACATAGCAGGGGGTTTGAAACCAGGTGATCACTGTGGTCCTTTTCAACCCAGGCCATTCTAGCATTCTATGATTCTGTGATTCTAAAATGCTATGATTCTATGACCTCAGTGTGTGCAGAAGGCCCTGACTGACAGCCCAGGGAAATACAGTCCCCTCTCTCACTGCAGACACAGTAAATCTCAGGCAGCAGAAATTCAGGCACTTTATTTTCTGACCACACTAGCATGCCTTGGCTTACTCATCTCTCATACAGGGTGACAAAATACTCCTGCTGCTGCAGGTCCCTTAGGTGGCTGCCTGCAACTCCTGAAGCTCTGTGCTTCCCACTGCACATAGTGGACACAAAATGCGGCGGTTCTGGTTAGCAGCACATATATCCATTCCGTATAGCTGTTAACTACGTTGCATGTGAGGTGTCCTTAGGTTGACAGCTCTTTGAAATAGGCAGAGGGCACTAGTTGTAGTGGAGAGTCCTCCTAAAGAGAAGTTGAAGTGAATTTCACGTATACTATTGAACACCTAAATCACATCTGTCGTTTCAGCGGTTCCCTATTTGGCATGATCTTAGCAATGAAGAGGTATGAGAGGCCTCACGGTATACTTCTATTAAAATGAGTAGAATCGGAGAAGTAAAGCACTAAGAGCGAGAGGGAAAAACTACCGTGAAAGCGCTAATTGCTTGGGCCTCTCCTTCTTACTGGCAGCTGCTTGTGCCTACTGAAAAGGTGCTGCTTACCCACAACAGCAAAGCACTTCACAGCCTGCAAATGATAGGAGGAAGATGTGCTGAAAAAATAGGCCAGCCTTTTCGCATGTCACCAGTGGATGCTGTAGGCCTTGCTTTGCCATTGGCAGCCAGACACCTGGCATGCACCTGACTCCAGCTCTGCTGTCCCAGTGCTGGGCATGAAGAAAATGGGGTGGAACGCACTCATCACTGGGTACACTTATCCTATCAGTTTGGTATCATTCAAGTGCTGATGACTCCATCTCTCCTTACAACATTTTCAAATACTTACATCTTCACAAAACAAACAAACAAACAAAAAGCAACAACAACAACAAAAAAACCACGTGCAGGCTGAGTTAGAATGACTTCTCAGAAGCACCAACACAATTCCATTTTCTGGCATCAGCTTTCTGCTTTATGCCACCATTTTATTCAGACATAAGAAATATTATTTCACAGTTATTTAATATAGTTTTGCTGCACAGAAAAACTGCAATAAAAAAAAAAGAACTGCTTGAAATGATTGAACAGGGTCGAAAACAATAGGATGGAGTCAAAAAGATCCAACGGAATGAGCTCATGACAGAGAACGTACAGATTAAGTTCTGCACCGTCCTTGGTGTTGGATGTGCAAAGGTGTGAGGCACACATCTTGCTCTTTCACGGTGAAAACAAAAAGCCACACTCCAGTCTCCGTTGACATTATTATTTCTGACCCTCCGTTCTACGCCGGGAGCCCGAGTCCCGCCTGGAGAAAGAGCTGCTTCCCACCTGCAAGAACAACCAGCACGCTGGAAGCATGGAGGTCTCACGCTGCACGCATCGCTACGCACACCCATCCGAGCGCCTCGTGAGGGGAACGGAGCTTTTCCACGCAGATCGCGCCGAACCCCGCAGCGTCCCCCTGGCGCCGCTGCCGTCCGCCAGCGCCCGCAGCCGCAGCCCCGGCTGCACTCGGCGGTTCCGCAGCCCGCAGCCCGCCGGGGCGAGGCCCTCTGCGCCCAGCCGCGCCCCGCAGCACCCGGGCACCACCGCCCGCCTCCACACCGCCCGGGCCCCGGCACCGCGCCTCGGGGCCGAGCAGCAACGCCCGCCACAACTTCTCCGCTCCCAACTTGACAGAGGAAGTTACGGGCGGGGACGCGGGAGCCCGCCGGGATGGCGGGGGCGGCCGTGCGGGGTCGGAACGGGCCGTGCCCGCACCCCGTAGCCCCGCGGCGCCGCCCGGGGCACGCGTAGCTCTCTCTCACGGCCATCCCCGCTCTGCCGGCGGACAGCGGCCGGCGGACAGCGGCAGCGCCCCGCGTCGCCTTGCTGGCGGGGAGGCCCCGCTACCTGCCCCGCTCGGCCGCCCCGAGCCCCGCTCGGCAATCTTTGTGTGAGCGTGTGCGGGGACTATGTGTGTTTGTGTGCGTATGTATGTGTGTGTGTATGTGTGTGTGTGTGTGTGTGTGTGCGCCGGCGGCTCCCCGGCGGGCTGCGGGTGTAACGGCGGCGCTGTATGGCTGCCGGGCCCGTCCCTCAGCGCGCCGGCCAATGGCGGGCCGCCTTATATCCCGGGGAGTGTTGTGGCTCTGCCCGGGTTGCATGGCTCTGTGTGGAGCCGCGTTCCGCGGGCGCCGAGGCGGAGGGGCTCCGCCGCGCGCCGCGCCTCGCTCCGGCCCAGCGGCGCGCTGCCTGCCCGCTCTCCGGCCCCGCCGAGGTGAGTGCGTGGGAGCGCGGGCGGCGAGCGGCCGAGCGTGGGGCTGCGGGGTGCCCGCGCCTCGCACTTTCCTCTCCGCGCCCCGGCGGCCGGGCAGCCCCCCGGGCCCCGGCGGCGGCCGGCGGGGCGGCGCGGGGCTCGGCGTGCGTTGTGCGGCTGCGGCCGCCGGCACTGCCCTGTCGCTCGGGCGGCCGCTGCCCGCGTCGGAAAGTTTGGGCAGGGGAGGGTGGGTGGGCTCGCGGCGAGACGCGGAGAGCTGTGACGGAGGGTAGGCAGCGGTAGGCCGGCCGGTGCCAGGCTGCGCTGCGAGCGGGCACCTCTGCCGCCGCGGAGAGGAAGGGGAAGGAGGAGGAGGAGGGCGAGCCATCGGCGGCTGCTCGGCCGCCGAGCTGACAGGGCGGCGGGCAAACTTCATCCCGAGGGGCGGCATCGCCCGCCGGGGGGCGGATAGAGGGCCGGGGGCCGCCGGGGAGAGCACCGCGTACCGCCCGCCGCGGCAGTGGAGGAGACGGCGGCCCCGGGGCCGGGCCGGGCGGGGAGTCGGGTGCCTGCGCGTTTTCCGGCAGTCATCGGCGATGCGCCCGGGGCGGCGGCGGCCCCGGCCCCGGGGGGCGGTGAGGAGCGGGCGGGGCTAAACGGGGGGGTCCGCTCGGCGAGTTGGCGGCGGAGCGGCAGGCCGCGGAGGTGAGCGGTGACATCGGGGGGCGACGGTGACAGAAAACTTGGCGGGGGCCGCCCCGAGGGGCGCCGGGTGGGCGCCGGGCTCTTCTTCGGCGCCGCGAGCCCGGGTCGCGCCGCCTTACGGGGAGCAGCCCTTCTCCCGCAGCCCGTCGCCGCCGCTCTCCTCCCCCCGGCAGCCGCTTCGCTCTTCCTCCTCTCGGGTTGATTTGCAATGTATGAAACTTGCGCGGCGGCTGGGAGAGCCGATCCGGGGTAGGCAGGCGGGGAAGAGGAGGAGGAGGAGGAGGACGGGGAAGGAAGGGCTGGCGGCGAGGAACGGAGCGGGCGGGCAGCGCCGCTAATCCCGGCGCCACACGGCAGCAGGTCTGCGCTGGGAATGCCGCTCCGCCGAGCGAGGAAGGTAAAAGGCGGCGATGCGAGGACGCGCGCGGCGGGGCGAGAGGCAGCACCGGCGGTGGCTCCCCGCCCTCCGCCCGGCGCGGCGGGTAGCGAGCGAGCGAGCCCGGCTCCCCCCGGCGGCCGGGCCGGGCCGGGGGCCGCGAGGGTTGAGCCGCGCGAGGGGCGGATTCGCGACTTTTTCCGGGGGAGGCCCGCGTGTAAAAGTTGTTTTTCGGAGGTGAGTGCGCGCGGGGAGGCCGGGGCCCCGCCAGGCCGGCGGCGGTCACTCGGGCCTGGGGCGCCGAAACCATTGCCCGTCCTGCCGGTGACACGTCCGAGCCCCGCCGCCGGGGGCCCGCGCCGAGCCCGGCGGCACCGAGCGGCGCCGGGCGGGGGCCGGGCTCCGCGCTGCTCCCGGCGGCGGCACCTCCTCCCGGTGGCAGCGGCGGCGGCGGGATCGTCGCCCGGGCCCGCGGGGAGGAGGAGGGGAGCGGCGGGAGGTGCGCGCTGCCACCGCCGCGGCCGGGCCCCGCCGGGGGGCGGCTCGCAGCGCCCCCAACCCCCGCGGCCCCCCCGCCCCCCCCCAAAGGTGTTGGGCAGAGTTTCCCCCCCGGGAGGGCGAGATTTATGCGCTGCATTATTGCCGCTCTCCTCCCCCCTCAAAGCAAGATGGACTCTCTGCGCTCTCTCTCTCTCTCTCGCTCGCTCGCTCTCTCTCGCTCTCTCTCCCTGACTCTCGCTCGCTCGCTCTCCGCTCCTCTCCCCGTCTCCCTGTGTCTTGTCAGCCTTCGAGATCGACATTTTGTAACTAAGATGCAAACTTGATGGGGACCGGCGGCGGACCAGAGGTGTCTCTGTGGGGGCAGAGCCGCGGCGAACCCCGGCTGGCGGCAGCCTCGCTCCATATTTAATACCTTTCCTTCCCACCCCACCCCGCAGCCCGGGTTCCGCTGGCCCTACAATTCGCACGGGCGGCGGCCCGGGCCCCCGTGCCCGGGGCTGCGGGCACTGCCCGGAGCCATCTCTCTCGGGCTCCGGTACCTGCGGCCGCCCGGTGCTGCCCGCTGCCCCCGTGCGCAACTTTCCGCCTCGCCCCTTGTTCCCGTGCGGCGATGATCTCGCGTGGGGCAACCCTACGCGTGCTGCTGGCAGTGCTGCGTGTGCACCCAACTGCCGCCGGGCAGAGGGAGGAGGAATAACCCACCCTGCTGCTGCTGCACGCACGGCGACCTGCTCCCTGTGCCCTCCGCAGCCACGGTGCATCTTTTGTTTGCGCCTTCCCAAAGGCTTCCTGCTGCTGCCGTGTTGTGCTCGGAGCTCAGGTGGGGTGGGGCGAGGGGAAAGCTGCCCTCAAGTTTTGGGACCGCTCCTCTCATCAGTGCCGCGGCGGGCTGTGATATTGTAAAATGACGGTGTGCTGATGGTGTGCCTTTATTTGATACTTTATAGGTCACTATCACATGACAAAGGCTTTGAGACAGCTTCATCTTCGCCTGTCTGTAGTTTCCACTTGCCTTCCTGGGTGAGTATGTAAAGCATACGCGCAGAAAAAGAGCTTGCTTCTTGCTCCTGAGACAGAGCAGCTCTCGGTGCTGCCTCAGACATGGAAGATGCTCATTTGGGTTCTGCTACCTCAGGAAACATGTCTTCTCCAGGTGCTGGCAGCAGCAGCTGGCTTGCAAAGTTTCTGTACAGGTGTCAAACAGAATAACCTGTGCATCACTGCATCTCCCGTCCTCTCAGTGATGCTTTGTCTCTTACTTTTTTGAACCCTATTTTGTAAGGATGATGAATTCATTGGCTTAGGGATGAAGTTTTGAACCGAAGTAATATTAAGATGTGCAGAGTGCAGTGTGGCGGTCAAAAACTTGCTGAGATAGTGGTGAGGGGAAAAACATGGAAAATACCAACCATTGGAGCAGATGATGGGAAATTTCTGTGGTTCAGGAATCAGCAAGAAGTTTGACATAGCAGCAGTGCTACTACAGCAGGAGTTTGTTCGGTTCTAAACGTAGACAGTGTTCGTTAGAATTCCACCCATACTGTTTCTGTGTTGCTGTTTTTTTGTTGTTGTTGTTTTTTTTCTTTTGGCATTGATGAATGCAGGTACCTCTCAATCTGAAAGATGAATCTTAGTGACTTAGTAGTATTCCTCACCTTCCAGTGTGCAGCTTCCTGTTCTCTCCGTATGCTGTGGAAAAGTTCTGACACTTTCTGATAAAGAATTTGGTTTTGGAGCTGGATTGATGAGGTCATGTAAAGGAGAGGTGGTACATTTGTGGGGTTGTGTTCACAGGTAGTATGAAGCGTGTGCCACACGGAGCACCTTTCATACCTTTGCCCACACTGGCACTGAACTGCTTTGGGCCTAAAATAAGGAAGTGGGAGATTAAACACACACACACTTCTTTTTAATGGCAATTTTGTATACTTAACAGAAAACAAGATGAGACATGCATTTGGGATAAGCTTAGCACTCATAAACATGAAGGATTAATAACGTGACCTTTTCCAGTCAGAGTACAGCAGACTTGTGTTAAGTGATGGTCCCAAACACGCCAGCAAGAAGGGGGCTGCAGGGAGCAGCTGTGACGCTGTGGCTGTGGACCTGTTCTTATGGCTGGGATTATGGCTGTGGGGAGGTAGGGGAGATACAGTGCTGCCATTCCTTCAGTTCCTGTAGAACTGCACCCAAATCTCCATTTTCCAGATGTTATTGGCGGTGGGATTGGTGTGTGTAGGTCTGAGACTATCAACACCAGATTAAACTACTGAAATTCTTTGTGACAGATCGTTGCTTTCTGTTCTATAGCATTACTGACATCCTGCTCTGCGTAGTGTAATTGATGCAATGATTTTCCCAAAGTAAGAACACACTGGGAAATTCAAAAACTGGCTGGTAAGCTTCAAACTGTTATTCAGAGCTGAGTATACATATGCTGATTTTTGGGCTTAATTTTGTGTTTCCAGGTAAGAGTCGGGTTAGAGGTCTATAAGAGCCTATAATTTCTTTTTTATTTGGAGCAGTGGTGAACAATAATGGGCAAGGGCACCATGGAGGCTTTGCTTGAGGTGGGCTCTTCAGTCATTTTGTAGCTTTAGTTTCATATGACGAAGCCTTCTGTGTGCATGGGAGTTCAGTCTTAGAAGTGAAGTGGAGATAATCATCTGCCTGCACCTTCTAAGACCAGTGGGCCTCCGTTTTGTGTGTAGTGCTAAGTGTAGCACTTGCCTAATATTGATCTGGAACGAACAAATTGTGAAGAAAAGTGTCCTTTTGAACAAAAAGGCACGATGGAAGTTTTAGAGGAGATTGAGAAGTATATTTCCTCATAGCTTAAAATGTAATAAAAATAGCATGGCTGTTTAAAGGGGAGAATAAAGATTTTGTTAGATTTGGCCACTACTGGAAATATCCGTTTACTTTAAGGAGTGCTTGTTTTGGTAACAACGAAGATGTGCTTTATTACAAAGTCTCACTGAAGTATCCATCCATGGCTGGAGTTCAGTAATCCAGGCCTGGCATACAGGACGGCCTTAGGAAGCAGCGCCAGGTAGAGTGCCCATGTGTCACAGGCTGGGAGGGGGAGATCTGCTTAGGAAGGGGCCATGAGAAATTCTCAGACATTGGTCCCTGTCTCAAAAGTTTGTTGTGCTTTCCCCCTTCCTCTCAGCGCCGCGAGCTGATAAAGTGTTTCAATGCAGATCCACAATTTAGGAAGCTTGTGTTTTGACCTAAACTTACAGTTTGTCAGGAAGTTGCCCTGGGCACTTTGGAGTTGTTGAGGACTGCTTGCTCTGCACCCAGTGCCTGCAGAGCTCCCATAGGTTTCAGTGGGAGCTCTGTTTAGGGAAGGAGTTATGGTGAGAGGAATTTGTCCATGCTTGTTTTCCCATTCAAGGAGGAAAATGTTCTCTGTCATAGATGTCATGTGAATAATTAAACATCTTAAATGTCACATTTTCCACATTAAATATCAGAGTTAACCATGCGTTTGTTTTATACCTCTCACTTTTTTTCTTCCAGAATGCTTGTAATGCACTCTGTTCAGAAGTTAGTGGTTCTCCAGCTTGCAGTCCTAAGCACGCAAACATCTTTGAGCATGTGATAAACTTTGCTAAATTCACTGATATCTTTGCTTGCGTTCAGAGCTGAAAGTTCTTCCAGGTTGCTGCTGCTGCTTGTAGTCTGTGGGCTGATGGTCAGTGATGTTCTGGACAGGCCTTGCAGCAGGCTGGTAGGAAGTTAGGGAACTTGGAGCAAGTGGATGGGGATAGAGTTGCTCTTCACTATGTGTAGTAGTGTAACATGCCAGTGAGGTATATGCCACACACATGTAGGCTCTGCTGTGGTGTGAAGGCTATAAACACACCTGCAGTGACACCTGGGCAGCTGTGAGCTGAAATGCCACCTCTCTTTGGCCTCTGTATGGCACATACAGGGTTCTGTGTTTGTGAGAAGGTGGCCCTTTGATGGAGGAAGATGCTGGAAATTAAAGCTGGAGCTGAACTGAAACTCTGGTTCTAATTCCTCACCATAACTCACGCTGTCACTGTTAAAACCAGCAGCTGCTTTCCAAACTGTGGGCCCCGATTGCATCCTGTGCCCTGTGTGTGGGTGATGGCCCAGCGGGGGCTGTGGTGGGCTGAAGGTTCATGGGGTCAGAGCATATCATGGAAATGTAGCCATATGTCCTTTTCCACCTGCAGATGGAGGCTAATGAAACTTCCCTTCATTAAATCGCACTATGCCTGTATATGGGAACAGTTTACCTGAGCGAATTAAGTTTGTTTTAGCACAGTATGGATACTGTTTTACCTCACTGTAACCATAATAATGTATGCTTTCTTTATTACTTAGGAGTCTGCAAAACTGGCTTGATATAATGGTCATGTGTATTTCAAACTGCTTCTGGAGGTATGGGGAGAAACAGGAAGAAGTCAGCTTTTTCTTCTGCTGTGTTATCTTTATGCCTTTTCCTTTCTTCCCCTTATTATTAGGGGAATTCACTGTCAGAAGCAGACTCCGTTTGTTTTTTTTTTTTTTTTTTTTTTTTTACCACTACTGCTATTTATTTATAACTATTGTTTTTTAAATTTTAGTGACAGTGCAGTGCTTCATTCTGAGGGTGGTGTGCTGAGCCTGGTGCTTAGAGATGCATAGTGTTCCATAGAAGACCCCCAGCTGTCACTCCTCTTGATGGGTTTCAGATGGGGTAAGACCTGAATTGGTGTAGGGGTTACCTGAAGAGTGGATTGACAGCCTGCTGTTAGATTGCAGTGTTTTAGGGAAAAATAAAAACAACGAATCTCACGCTGTTCTCTGAACTATATTATTAATAATTGGCATTGCCTTGTTCATGTGCTTGTGCCCTGTCTGGAGAAGCACATAGGTCATGCTGTAATCACACACATCAAAACAAGGAACAGTCACTTCTTATTCCTGTTCTAGGCACCTGAGATACAGCACAGTGAAAGCAGCACAGGCTTGTCTGCAGCCATTTAGCAGTGTGAGCAAGAATGGAATCAAACCCACATCTTGTTGGTTGTGCCCTTTCCCTCAGAGTATGCTCCCTACAAAGCTTTCCTGAGAAATGCCCGTCTTGATGTGTGAGTGGTCTTACTGAATTCTGCCAGCTGAGTATCTCATGCAAATGTCCAACTTCCTCCATAGCACAACTTTTAGAAAAAGGTATTTTAGAGTCGTGTGAAGCTGCTGGCTTTCATCTGTGTTGCTATTGACAGGAGAGCTTAGATTGAGACGAGAGCTTACTGAAGAGTTTTTGCCACTGAACATGCTGTTTGGGCTACTGTGTGTATTATGCAATTTAATACTAAGTTCTCTGTGTTAACTTTATGAAATCAGATATTGGTTTTCATTAAAAAAATATGCATTGGTCTGAATAGTTTTTTATGACTACATTGTTTTTATTTAATATTCATAATCTAGTGCTAAGTTGCAGCTAACTTTTTCATGGAATGTGAAATTGACAAAAGAGCCTGCTTTAGTGTTCTGGCCCTATTTTGTTAAGAAGCCTGACTTACCAATTTGAACTTTTGTTTCTAAACCCAGTAAGGGTATTTCATGTAAGACTAAGATTTGCTGAAAACCAGTGTTTAGCTACTGTGGTGATGAGGTGGCTTTGGTTTTAAAGAGCTCTACTGGAGGAGGAAAGGAGACTTCAGTTAGTGAAAATCTAATTGTAGCATTTGCAGTGACAGTAGCATTTTTATCATTTCTAGTGTTTATGAAGTTGATAACGAAAAATGAATCAACAAAGAGGAAGAGCATGGGTTTGACGTTTTCCAATGTTCCTGCCTTTTCCTTCGTAGTACACAAATGCACAGAGTAATAGCAAGTCCTCGTGAGTGTGGACAATTCAGCATGTGAAAATAAGCCAGCTTCAGACATCTCTGTATACAAAAAGCTGCCACAACAAAATTTCAGTTTTTAGCAAGGAGAAGTAAGGCTAACTGAATTTTATGCAATTACACTAAGAAAATCCATTGCTGGGGAAGCAC